TGCGTGTGTGTGTGTGTGAGTGTGTGGGGGGGGGGGGGCGTGTGGGGGGGGCATGAGGCTCCGCTGCTGCTCCTTTTCTTCGCTATCCCCTTCCACTCGCCTTGGTCGTTCACCCCCTGCCCCACTGGGGGGTAATGGTCACGGAGACGGGAAGTGCACCTAGAAGGGACACATTGGAGGGCCAGGAAGGGGGAGGAAGAGGCAGAAGGGATGAGGCAGAGGAGGAAGAGCAGGAAACTTAACAATGAGAAAGGTGAGGAGAAGGTGGGAGGAGAAGGTGGGAGGAGGAGGAGGAGGAGGAGAAGCAGGACGAGCAGGAGGAGCAGGATGAGATGCAGGAGGAGGAGGAGCAGGAGGAGGAGGAGGAGGAGGAGGAGGAAGAGGAGCAACCGCCGCGGCTCCCGAACTGTGCTCTCCGCAACGGAATCCCAGTTGGCCGCGTCGTGCGGGTGGATGCCGACTGCCCGACCGTACCCCGAATAAGGGGTCTGCCGAGCCTGAGCGGGCCTCATCCTCCCTCTGCCCCTTTCTCCTCCTGACTCCTCCTCCCGCGCGGTCTTCAGGGCGACGCCTGCGCGAGCACATGGAATGCCCAAAATCGCCCCCATCGCCGAACGGCGCGTCCAGCCAGGAGAGGAACGCGGCAGCCCAAACTTGAACGGTTGCAGCGTCGGGGCTGCCCTTGCCTCCGGCAGCGACCCAAGAACGGTGTTCTGCGCGCAAGTCGGCCAGCGCCCCCCCGAGAAGTAGGCGCGATGCGAGTCGGCCAGCGCCCCTCCAAGTCGGAATGCGCCGATCTCGGTCGCCCCCCTGGGGCGCTTCTCTGAGCGCTTCGAACGTGATTTTCCAGCGCCGACCAACCCGCGCGATGGGGCCTCGCCCGACCGGTGAAACGGCGGGGGGAGGCCAGCCGAAGTTTACGGCGAATCCGAGTTCGCATTCCAGCTGTTGCAGCCCCGCTGCGTCGCGGAACGCGGTGGACGCAGAAAGTAACTTGGCGGGACGTGGCGGCCTTGAACTCGTTGCCAGCAAGCTGTCCGTTGTGGTGATTTCTCGAGCCGAGGGGTTCGCGGAAACGCTAGACATTGTCGTTGGCCCCAGAAGAGGGGCCAGACGCGCTCAAGCAGATGCCGGCTTGACGGAGGAGGAAAACCCAAAAACCTTCCGCCGTGTTCTTTTCACACAACGACAACGAGTCTGCGCCGACAGTTCCGAATCTCCGGAGGTCTGGACTCCTCGTTGGGGAGGCTTGCGGGAGTGCCGCACGGCCGCAGGCGCTGAACCAGAGGCGACTCCCGTGCGGCGACCCGGGCTCGAAGTGGTGCAGGTTCTTCCTGGGCCCGGGGAGAACCGGGTGGCTGCCGTCGTCGTCGTAGCTACCGCTGCCGCCGCCATGGCCGGCTGCCGTCGTCGCCGCCGTCGTTGTCGTCGTCGCCGCCGCCGCTTCCGCCGCCGTCGTCGCCGTAGCCGCCGTTGCCGTCGTCGTCGTCGTCGCCGCCGTCACCATCTTCGCCGATATCGCCGTCGTCTTGGTCGCGGACGCCGCCGTCGTCGTCGCCTTCGCCATCGCTGCCGTCGTCCACGTCATCGCCGCCGCCGCCGCCGTCGTCTTCGTCGTTTTGCCGTGAAAACGGCGCCGCCTGGGCTCCGCGGAAGCCCCGCCCACCGTCGAAGCGGCTCCTCCTCCTCCTCCTCCTCCTTCCCCCTCTCCAGCGGCTGCTGGTCCTACCCCCCCCCTCCTTCTTCTCCTCCATCCTCTGCCCTCCTTGCTAATGGCCCCTCCTCGTGACACCACCGGACATGTCGGGAAGGCGGGTCGGGCGCTTCGCCTGCCAACTCCTTAACTTACCGCCTATGACTCTGAAACTTCAAATTTCCAACAGCTCCAACAGTTGCACCGGTGAGGGACGGGGGGCCCTCAAAACGAGAGCTCTCGCCTGAGCGCTGCGCACATTCGTTTCAAAAAAAAGTAGCTACAAGGATGGAGGGCGGATAATGCAGTCCATTTCATAGATATGATCCTCGTCTCAGCGCCGGGCACAGTCATCTCAAACTTCTCCAACAACTACAAATGGCGGATCGTTTTCAGCATGCCACCCTCGCCTTAGCAGCGCTCCCATTCGTCTGAAAACTATCTGGCAACCCTAACGATGGAGGGCGCGCCTTTTCCAAATATGAGCACGCTGTCGCTTGGGACTTCGTGCCATCCGATGACTATACATGTAAACTTGCCCGATGACTGGACCATCGCCTGATGTCTCCTTACACGTCTGACAAGACACCTACACTTTTACAGCAAGCGTGCAGATTGAGGGCGATTTTTTGTTCAGTTGGGTCCGCTCGTTGGGCACCCTATGGTCCTACCTCTCGCGTTCCGTATATCTCAAAAGGTGCAAAATAGTTCCGCGTCTAAACGGGACTCGCGACTGAACGGCAGACCCATGTGGCGTTCGTCTTTCAAAAGGGAGGACATCCCTGGAAATGGAAAGGAGTGCGTGTAGAGACCCATGGTGCATTGGGACGGAAGGGTGTGCTGCAGCACCGTTGACGCATCCAGAGCTCACTCTGGTCCTCTTCCTGCTCCTCTCCTGCTCTTCCTGCCCTCTTTCTCATCCTCCTCCCCCTGCTCTTCGTCTCCCCTCCCCTTCTCTTTCTCCCCCTCCTTCTCCTCTTCCCGGTCCTCCTCCTCGTCCTCCTCCTCCGCATCCATACATTCTCATGTATAATTAACTCCTCCCTGTCGCACTGCCAGTCGTGTCGGTAGGGCGGGCTGGGCGTTGTACCTGAGACTTCCTCAGCACTTATGCTCCTGAAGCTTGAGGTCCAGAAGAGCTACACGGATGGAGGGGGGGCACTTTCAAAATGGAGCTCTCGCATCAGCGCCGAGCACACTTTTCACCTACAAGGTTCGGGGTCATTTTCAAAATGGGGTTCTCGCCTGAGCGCCACATGCATTCGTCCTAAAAGCCTGCGGCAATTTACAAGGATGGGGAGCGGTTGCATTTGCAGCAATTGCAAGGGGCGGAGGATTGCAGCAGTTGCAGGGTCGGAGGATGGCTCCTTGTTCAGGATGTGGTTCTCGTTTGAGAGCTCATTCGTCAAAGCCCAGACATTTGAAATCGTGTAACAGCAGCGCAAGGTGAGGCCGGCTCATTTTTCAAAATGGGGCTGACGCTTGAGACTTCCTCGCACTTCATGGCCAGAGGCGCAAGCGTGTAGAACAGTTCCAGCGATGGGGGCGGCTCTCTTCCAAATTGGGAATATTGCTGGACACCTCGTTGAGGTGTGCAAACGCACCCTTTCTGAATTCGGATGATGCTCACAAGAACGACGCAGAGATACTTGAATGCTAAAACGGCTCCCGCCCGAATGGCAGGCCCATGGGATGCCGGCCTTTTCAAAGGAGGCGTTTCTTATTTCTATCTCTACATCTATGTGTCTATGTGTGTATATATATATGTATGTATATATTTGTATGTATATATATGTGTGTATGTGTATGTGGAGGAAAGGCTGGTAGTGACGTGCCAGGAGGGGGCCTTGGACGAAGCGTCTGGCAGCATCGTCGATGCATCTCGGGTTCGCTGGAGAGGCGCCGAACACACGGGGCATCGACGAGCGTCAAAGGACTTCGCATGCTGTTTGCTTCCGGGGGATCAGTGCACTTGTTTCGGCCCCCTTCCCCAACCCTCCGACCATGCGCTTCTGGTCCGAAGCGGTCCTCGAACTCTCGACCTCATCCCGCCGACTGGCTTTTGCACCGAATGTAATTTCTTGTCGGCACCAGGGCCCGACAACGGCACCACGAGACCGGAAGTATGGAACCTAGTGAATCGTTCTTTTGGCGGTACAGTACAGGCCTCCGACGATCTGAATACATCGAATCGCCAGGCCCTGGAGCTCTCGACTCCTTCCTTGGGAAAGTTTTTCCATACTGAGTGGGCTGTTGGCGGCATGTTACCCGAACGGGCCTTAGAGGCCGAAAGCTTAGGAATAACTGGCCAGCGCGATGCTTCGCGCTGTCTGGAGGTCTTGTTGATGCCCTCCCCTCCCCCGTTTCTGAAGCGCGCGCAGAAGGTGGAGGGGGAAGGGTATGGCTTCGAAGAAGGCGGGGGGCCTGTTTAGAAACTTAGATGGCTCGGAGAGCTTCTGAGGAGGCCTCCTAAAGGCAGGAGGGCTTCTGAGAATGCCCCTGCATTCACAGGGTGTCGCCCCCCTCGCCCCGCCCCCGACCAAAACCCACTCCAAACTGGTCAGCGGACCCGGTAAAGCTTCGGGAAGCGCGCAGACAGCGCCCCCAGGTGGCCAGCTGGCCTCAACAGGCCCCCTGAATATAGTCTGGGGCGGTCCCAACCTCTCAACACCCTGGCGCCGCCTGACGCGGCGCCCATGGGGCGCTCCGACCTCCAGGGTTGTTGAGGCCTGTTGGAGGCAACCGGGGCTACTCTTAGGTCGGGCCTGTCCCCCTTACAGGGGGATTTTGAACGAAAAATAAGACATGCGCAACAAATACTCAAAATGTGCCCACATATACTAAAAGAAATAGTCCCCATATTATTTGTTGATTATTTTTAAATATTCCCCCTGTAGAGGAACAGGCCCGACTTACAAGTCTGCTCTAGGGGCCTCTTGAGGGCGGCAAGGGCTGCCTGGGCGCACTGCCGAGGCCAGCCCGGACGCCTGGGGGGGGGCTCTCTGTGCGCAGCCCGAAGCCGCACCAAGCGGACCCCCTCTCCCCCCTCCCCCTCCTCCCCCTCCTCCCCCTCCCCCTCCCCCTCCTCCTCCTCCTCCGCCTCCTCCTCCTCCTCCTCCCCTCCTCCTCCACCTCCCTCCTCCTCCTCCTCCTCCTCCTCCCCCAACACTCCTCCTCCTCCTCCCCCTCCCTCCCCCCCTCACCCCTTCTCCTCCTCCCCTCCCCCCCTCCCCCTCCCCCTCCCCCTCCCCCTACCCCCTCTCCTCCTCCTCCTCCTAACCCTCTTCCTTCCCTCCTCCTCCTCCTCCCTCCTCCTCCTCCTCCTCCTCCTCCTCTCCTCCTCCTCCTCCTCCTCCTAAATCCTCCACCTCCTTCCTCCTCCTCCTCCTCCTACCTCCCCTCCTCCTCCTCCTCCTCCTCCTCCCCCTCCTCCTCCTACTCCTCCTCCTCCTCCTCCTCCTCCACCTCCTCCTCCTCCTCCTCCTCCTCCTCCTCCTCCTCCTCCTCCTCCTCCTCCCCTCCTCCTCCCCTCCCCTCCTCCTCTCCTCCTCCTCCTCCTTTCCACACTCCTCCTCCTCCTCCCCCCGCCTCCTCCTCCTCCATCCTCCTCCTCCAACCTTACCTCCTCCTCCTCCTCCTCCTTTTCTTTCCTTTTCCTTCCCTCCTCCTCCTCCTCTCCACCTCCTCCTCCTCCTCCTCCTCCTCCTCCTCCTCCTCTCTTCCTCACAATTACTCGCTATGATACTACTCTCCCTCTCCCTGATGACGGCCTGGGAGTGTCCGACCCCCCCCCCCGCGTATTGGTTTTTACACACAGGTTTCCCCAGAGTTGGGTTTTCGCCTGCATGTTTTGCCAAAATGCTGCTCTCGCTGATGCGCTGGCCTCATTTTCGGGCCGCGCTCGTTCCGAGTCGTGTTCCCGCTGCAGCGCTGGCCTCATTTCCGTGCTTCCGCTCGTTCCGAATCGTGCTCCCGCTGCAGCGCTGGCCTCATTTCCGCGCTTCCGCTCGTTTCGACTCGTGCTCCCGATGCAGCGCTGGCGTCATTTCCTGTGCCATGCCACGGCATGCAATGCAATGCTAGGTTGATGCTACGCTTTGCGGTGCTCGTCTACGCCATGCCATGCCGTTCTCTACAATGCATCGCGTACCTTTTCGGGATCGTTGCCCTGCTCGACATCCCACTGTGCGAGTAGAGAGGGGATCTGCGCCATGGTAAGGGATGGGTGGGAGGGGTAGGACGTCAGATATGACGCGAGCGCACCTGGCTTGTCCCCCTCCCCCTCCCCCTCCTCCTCCTCCTCCTCCTCCTCCTCCTCCTCCTCCTCCTCCTCCTCCTCCTCCTCCTCATACTCCATCCCTCTGTACATCCTGCCCAGTCTTCGGGGCCGCCCCGAGTTGGGCCCCGCCCGGGGGCCTCGCCACGGATGCCCTGGCAAGAACCCGGGCCTGCTCGACAGGGAAAAGGGTTCTAGCGCCGATCCAAGAAATCCGCGCGGGACTCCGAAAGTTGATGCTACTGCCAGTGTTTGGTCCTCGAGGAAGGGGAGGAGGAGGAGGAGGAGGAGGAGGAGGAGGAGCGCACGTACCCTTAGGAGACCATCCTCCATCAGCAGGCCCCCGTCGAGAGCCTGACACCTCGAAGAATCTGCAGGTGAGACTCGAGGTCGCGGGCAGAACCTGGAGAGGCGTCCTGTTCTGCTTGGAGTTTATGGTAAACATAAAAAGCCAGGACACACAGACGGTGAGCATCCGAGCGCGTGAAAAGGTCCGTATATTCCTCTTCACGGCCGACTCCGAGCCGAGCCATGGGGCAGGATGGGAGGAAGACGCGGGGACGACGACGAGCGAGAAGGTGAAGGAGGGCGCGCAGTCGTGACCCATCCTCCTGCCAGAGACTTCAGGTGCGCCCAAGCCCACGAAGGTTGTGAGCGGGCTAGCACCTCCCTCAGTAGGGTCCACCTCGACGCCATTTCCTGAGGAGCAGGAAGTCTCATGGATGGGGGCCAGGAGTGAAAACGGCGGAGGAGAAGGAGGTGAAGACGGTCGGGGAAGAGGGACGAGGAGAGGGAGCGAGACAGGACACGCTGGATCCTAGGACGCCTCCCTTCCATCACGGCGGAGCGCCGTTCCTCAGTTCCTCGCAGCCTTGCCTCACGCAGAGCAGCACGAGGAAAGAGGTCGGACGGGGAGGCATCGAGGATAGAAACCACGAGTTGGGCAATCGACCGACTTTGGGCCCAGCACGGCGGGGACCACTCCCCTCGAACGTGTCGAACACTCGTGCCGTGCCACACATGCCACTCTCCCAAGAGACGCGCGAATTCCCCTGCCTTCGTCCATGTGGTGAGCCCGAACCGCCACGCAGCGGAGCGACCAAGTACAGCCAGCCATCGCCGCAGGCGCCGATCCAGGAAGCCATTGACGCAGGCTGAGGATCTCATCACGCTTAAATGTGTTCGGGGGCAGTCGTAGCAGCTTGTGCAGAAGCCAGTGTTCTTCACGGAGGAGGGAGGACGGAAAGGGGAAAGAACTGAACGATGTAAGAGAGGACGGGAAGGGAGCAGGAGTTATAGTTCCTGCAGGAGGCTTCTGCAGGCGCACGCGTGGAGGCGGATAGGCGCACACGATAGCCGAGCTTCGTGCTCGGCGCCTCCCATTGCATTTCGAGAGTGGCCTCTGGACCGAACAACATCCCCAGGTATTTAGCCCGACCCCTGATCGAGGAGGAGGAGGAGGAGGAGGAGGAGGAGGAGGAGGAGGAGGAGGAGGGGGAAGAGGAGGAGGAGGAGGAGGAGGAAAAAGATGAGGCAGAGTGGAGACAGGAAGGCGCAGGAGAGGAGGAGAGGGGAGGATAAGAACTGATGGTGGATGACGGTGGTGCTGCCGACGACGGCGGCGTGATCGTCATCGGCTATGAATGGTGACTGGATGTATGGGTCATGATGACGGTCGTGAGGAGGAAAACTAAAAAAAGAGAGAGCCACCACGGTCCTGAGCCAATCCCACTCTGGCGGGAAACCCGGCTTGCTCGGCCGGCGGAAGACGCAATTGCATATGCAGGCGTCCATGCCGCCCGGCCACGAGGAGATCAAATCCTCAAGGCCGACGGCCTCCTCGCGGTCCGTCACCTGGCTTGGACAACCCTCCGAGTACCCTACAGCTGACGATCTCCACGCCTTCCGCTCCTTCCTCTCCTTCGTCCCCGACTCCAAGATATTCGACACCCGGTGGTGCCTGCACGAGTGAGGCCAGACTGACGCAGCCGTACTCGAGCCATCCCAAGAGAGCAGATACACCGCCTCTCGCTGACGGGCAGGCGCGACGGGCTTTTTCGCCGCGCTTTCGGGCCCCAGTGCCGTGACGGGCCGATCTGGCTCGAAGATGCCGCGGACGGATGTTTTCGACAGCTGTGGTCCCGCTTTGTTTCAAACTTTCGGTCGCGACCGAAAGCGCAAGACGTCCGAGAGAACCTCAGGCTCTGACGAGGGCAGCGCAGCACGGGTAAACTGGAAACACCGTGGCACAACGAGACAGGGTCGGTCTACTGTCCGGTTGCGTCAGCATCATTCGGGGGCCTCGTGGGACCATCATGGGTCCTCTTTGGGCTCCGCTGCGTCCCTCTTGGAGCCTTTGGGGGCCATCTTGGGATCCCTCTGGACCTCTCGGTGGCCTTTCGCATGATGCAATGTCGAAAGTGGACTGCTAAGAGGTAGCTTCATTTACGGTATGTCTCGCATGTTGTGGGTCTCTGCCATGTGGCAGCGCGCGCCACTTACGGGGTGGTCCCGAGACCCGACAACGAAAACATCATACGGGCGACCATCCGAAAGCGCACATGGGGGACCGTAGTGTAGACCGTACGGGAGACCCTGCGGGAGACACCGCGGGAAACCAAGAGCCACTCCGGAGGGGCTCGCTTGCCACCCGAGAACAAACACAGAGGACCCTTGTGGACAAGCTGTTTAGGGACATCTAAGACAAGATCCACGCCGGGATTGAACACAAATCGGCGTCGAAGGTCTGGGCCGTCGTGGTCGTCGTCACCTGCGACATGCCGCCCCCTGTCCACGTGCGCTGCAAGGGGGGGGGGGTGAGGGTGGGAAAGGGGGGGCCCCAGGTAGGTCAGAATACTGCGCTTCCGAACTCCAGGGGGGTCCCAGGGGGGGGGCGCCCGCGGGGATCCAAGAGGAAGTCCCGCCTTCAGAGTCGGAGGCACGGGCCGTGAGAGATCTTCGCAATACAGAGACACCGGATGTCTGGGCAGTCGTCGTCGTCCTCGTCGTCGTCGTCGTCGTCGTCGTCGTCGTCGTCGTCATCGTCGTCGTCGTCGTCGTCGTCGTCGTCGTCCTCGCCTGCGGCTTGCCGCCCCCTCGCCACGTGCGCTGCAGGATGCTCTCCAGATGGCAGTGCGAGTCGGCCCATCGGGCAGTCGGCGGCAGGTCCGGCCGCGCCTGTGCCAACCTCCACGTCCTCCTCGCCTCATTTACATCATCCTCCTCTGAGGGGGGGCGAAACATCCCAGGAGCATGGAACGAGAAACACGAAACAAGAGGAGTCCGAGGCACCTCCTCTGTCGCTTCTCCCGCCTCTCGTCCCTCCATCCTGCTCCTTCCTCCCTGCTCCTCCTCCTCCTCCTCCTCCTCCTCCTCCATCATCCTTCCTCATCTTTCACCTCCCTCCCTCTCGCCCTCCATGCCGCGGCCTACTGCTCGTACGTGTGGCAGGCCGCCCCCCTCGCCCAACTCCGCCCACATCAGTCCCCAGGCCCCTCCCGAAGGCCCACCCTGGCCAGGCGTTCCCCTCCGGGATCGATGCTTGGCCAGCGCAGGGACCCGAAACTGGCCTCCAGCGCCTAAGGACGGGGGAGAACCTGCCTCTGCGAGCCTCGGCGACGACGACGACGACGACGACGACGACGACGACAACGACCCTGGCCTGCACCCGGGCCAGCTCCGCGGCGAAGCGCGCGGCGTAGGCCGCTCTGGCGCCCGCGTTGAAGGGCCCGGCTGCCAGCGAGGGCGCGCCGCTGGGGCCGCCCGTGGCGTCGCGCGCGGCGTCTGGGTACGGGGCCCCGCGCCTTCGCGTGGGGGGCTCGCCGTCGTCGTTTCTGGGCGCGGCTGAGCGCTTCGGGAAGGCAGAGAGCAACTCGCGGAGCCATGGTGGTCGTCCCCATGGCGCCCAATAGCGCGTCCAGTGGAGCGCAAGGCAGACGCAACGCATCTCCACCACGTGGCGCTATTGGACGCAACAATTTGTTTGTGCTATTGGAAGCGGCGCGCGCGCTGTTGAGCGCTATTCAATGTACGACGAGCGGAAACTTCCGTGACTTACTATCGAATGGCGGTTCTCGCAACCATGGCTTGGCACAGCTTGGAAGATTGATCTGGAGGCCAAAGAGCACCCATGCATGCTAAAGCAGGCACGATCGAAACTCGAGAAGACCGTACGTAGGAATGCGCCACCGGGCCCTCGGCACTTCGGGGCGTGTGTAAGATGCATGCCGGATGTCTGGCAGAGTTCCTGTGACTTTTGCAAAGCTGCCCTCCCTCCACTCCTTCCTGCCATGACACCTTTTAGACACGAGAGTCCACATACGCACTATATCTTACTCTAACTCGTAACTGCCTGGCATTGCTTCGACTGTTCTCCGCAGGTGGACCGCTTCACTCGGCCATCTTGGATCTCTTGCTCGGATGCGTGAAGGTGGCGGCACGCTCATCTGTGCGCTCTGGGTCAGCAACTTCCTTCAAGCCGACCCTCCCGGTCGAGTAAACGTTGCCGCTTTCTGTGGCGCCATACTGTGAAGGATTATCCTCCGAAACAAATACTGGGAGAGGCTCGATGACCACGTCCACAGATGGGCTCCAGAAGAAAGGCACCGAGAAACGAGCACGTGCTCGTGACCCAAAAGACAAACACGATGCACTATGCATCGTACTCGGAAAACGACCGTTGCTCAGACGCATGAGAGTGTTGCCACTGTTGACGAGCAACGAATATCTGCCTCGCGTCGGAGCCTGCACCCACTTGCCGTCGGTACTGCGCAACACGCTCAAGCCTGGCTGGTCGTCCTGCAGCAAGAAGGTGCAGAAGTCGCCGTCCGCATGGGGGGGTATGCCAACTTCTTGGGCTTCGGTTGGCGGGTAACAATTGAGCCGCAGAGCCCAACACGGCTTATCAAACTTACCATCGAAAAAATTTGGCTCTTGATGAAGTGCTATGGCGTAGGCAGGCAATAGCGCACGAGCAAGCCGCTCGATGGCCACGGCATACGAACTGACGGCTTCCCTGAAGCCCGGCAGCTGCTCGTCGGGGAGTAGGTTGTTCTCTTCGAGGGTGCTGAGTTGCCTGTCCGGCGATACCCACGGGGGCCCGTGGCCCCAAAACAGGTACGCTTCGTTGTTACCCTCGTGCTCTGGAAGCGGTGGATGCCCTCTACTGCCCCAGCGCGTCGTCGCACCCTTGGGCATAAACCCCGAGTCGCTCTCATTCAGGCGCCATTTGCTCTTCGTTGCGTGAGGCAAGCCATGCGCTCGGGACGACGCATCGAGCATGCCGCTCGCGACGCTTTCAGTCAGCACTGCCCCAAAGTTCTCCAAGAAATAGAAGCCCACTCCTTCGCTTGCCGCGCGGAGATCCCGACCAAATCGTTCGAGTGCCCCAGTTTCTCCTGCGAGCAAAGGCCCACAATCCAAAACTGGTAACCACTGGTCGTCCGTGAACCCGCCAGAGGCTACGTCCTCCCCCATCGCAGCGGCGTGCGTGGTCAGAGAACGTCCCGTGGTGGCCTGAACCACATAACAAATCGAGCCTGAGTGGGTACGGAACAAAAATGGAGAACGAGGAACAGGAGGAAAGGGCAGAAGGGGGAGCCGGGGGATGGAGAAGCGAAGGGTTACCATGTGGGGTGCGGCACAAGCGCGGTTCTGACATGGAATCGCGACAGCAAAATATTACAAATCACAGGAAGTCGATAACATGTGCCTGTTGCGGTATCGTACTCGTGGCTGGGCAGCATCGCGCGTACGTAATCATCTGCATAGTAAGCCCCGGTTCCACCTTGTCGCAGTACTCCACAGTACAAGCAGGCACCGGTGGAAACGCAGGCGCACCCCCATCATCTTCGGGATGATGGAGCTGGCCTTTCGGGCGAACGCACGGGTTTCGGCAATTTGGGGCCCTGGAGGAGCTCGGGGCCTTTGTGTTTCCCGCGTTCGCCTCTGCGAGCGCCACGGAACGCTGCCGACGTCGAACATGTGCTTCCGCGCACACATGAAGGGGCACTACAACGAACGACCACTGAAGTTACGATCCATCATGGCCGATCCTATCTCTAGCTCACCCGCGGAACGCTCCAAATTCTGGCGGGACCATCCATGCGCGCCCCCCATTCCTTTCGCGCTCCCCCCCGAGGGTCCCTCTCGGACCCTCATCCCCCGCGTGGTGGCGGATATTTCTCCTTACCCAGCAGGTCGGGCTCCCTCGATCTTAAGACGCGGCCTGCCCGCCAGCCCTGCATACCGCGGCCGCCAGGCCCCAGTAGTCCCGATTACCCCGCCTCGCCTGCCGGCGTGCATATCGCGGCCGCGAATCCCCAGCGGCCCCGAGCATCCCGCTCCTGACTCCCTCCCCCGCTTGCCCCTCCCAACGCCTCCTACTTCCCAATCCTCCTCCTTTCGTCCTCCTCCTCCTCCTTTCGTCGTCCTCCTCCTCCTTTCGTCCTGCTCCTCCTCCTCCTCCTCCTCCTCCTCCTCCTCCTCCTGCTCCTCTTCCTCCTCCAACTTCTCCTCCTCCTCCTTTCGTCCTGCTCCTCCTCCTCCTCCTCCTCCTCCTCCTCATCATCCTCATCCTCATCCTCATCGTCCTCCTCCTCCTTCTCCTCCTCCTCTTCCACATCACCACCACATATGCTCCCTCTCCTCCTTCTCCTCCCTGATCCTTCTCCTCTCCCTTCTTCTCTTCCTCTCCTCCTCCTGACTACCACTTGTACAGCACTGGTGGCAGAGTCGTAAAGCTGGGGAACCTTGCCAAGGCAAAGAGCTGCTTGATGTTGGACGTACGTCTTGGTCCTTCTTCTCTGAAGGCAAGTGCGCCCCAGCAGAACAAGAGGGAGAGGAATGTCAAGTTCCTGTCCACCATTTGGTCAGGTTTAACAGTTGCAGACAAAACGGCGTCGCGGTGAAACAGAAGTCTCCTCCTTTTCCTGCTGGAGGAGGAGGAAGGCGACGACGAACATAACGACGACGACGACGACGACGACGACGACGACGACGACGACGACGATGGCTCTGGTCGACCCGGAGAGCTCTCCCGGAGATGGTTCCGACCAGGATCTCGATGCGTCTGCAGCCGTGGACGAAGGCGCGACAACCTTCAGAAACCTGGATCATCGGAGGAAGCCAGAACCTTCACGCGCGGGACTGATGAAGGGCGCGGGCCTGAGGAAGGCCCACGAGCCAGGTGAGACGACGACGACGACGGCGGCGGCGGCGGCAGCCTGACGCGACACGACACGCAACGAAACCGGCGGCCTGCCGCGGCCCTTCCCCAGCGTGGGGGCGCCCACGGCCGCGGCGGGCGCCGCGGGCGCGGCGAGGCCGCACGCGGCCAGCCCGCCGGGCGACGGCGCCCGCGCCTGGCCACCCCTCGGGCCCTCCGCCGCTGCCCCGGGGCAGCCCCGAGCTGCCGCCGCCGCCGCAGTCGCCGCCGCCGTGGCCGTCGCCGCGGGCAGCGTGGTCGCCGTCCTGGGCGGCGCCGCGGTGGCCGCGGCCGCCGCCGCGGTCGCCGTGGGCCCAAGCCCGGCCCCCTCCCCCCGCCGCTGCCGCTTCTCCTTCCCGAGGCCGTGGGGGGGGGGGGTAAAGCAGCCAGGGCCTGGAGGATCGAGGATGGAGGGCCGATGCTCGTTGACATCGTCGCCCTCTGGAGGCCGCCCCCGAAATCCACCAGGGCGACGTGCCCCCAGCGAGGGTTCGCAAGGGCTCCAGCCGCACAGGGCTTTTCATCTGTAAGGGAGCACTTTGTGTTTAGACCCCAAGGTACAATGGCGGTGGCGGCGATGATAAGGGAATATGCTTCTTTCCCGCACGCCGCCGCACACGATGCACTGCTGATGGCATCGGTACAATGGCGGTGGCGGCGGTGATAAGGGAATATGCTTCTTTCCCGCACGCCGCCGCACACGATGCACTGCTGATGGCATCGGCCAATGGGACGGCGCCGCCTTGAGTCAAACGGGCGGCGGTACGAACAACGCATGATATAAATGCCATAATCGGGGCACTCCCTCAAAGTCGAGGGGGGGGAACGAAGCTCGACCGCTCCATACTGTATCTTCTCAAGCCTCAAGCCACCGCTTGCGAAGGCAAAACAGATCGGTGGCCGAAGGCTTCGAACAACGACGCAATGCGTAAGAACGGGGCGCGTGGAACCAGATCATGTCTTCATGAACCCGGTTTCTCGGCACCATAGTGCGTTACGCAGAGACAAGCTGGATGATGCGGCAGGGGCGGGATGGACCACGGTCAGTCCTGAAAACCCAAAAACTAGAGCAGGACGGACCAGGGTCAGTCCTGAAAACCACCCAAAATGGTCGACTAGGGCTGATCCCAGATCGGTGCAGAACGAATCGAGCGAGGTCGCGGGATGCGAAGGTGGGCGTGGACACGCGCCCTGCTTGAGCAGTCGCGGGTCCGTGAAAGCTCGGCATGGGGCCAGCAAGAGGATCGACCGCCGCCGCAGCATGCCTGTGAGCACCACATCGCGCCTGTGATCCCAGCACTACGCCTGCGATCGCCAAGCTACTGCGCAAGCGAAGCGAACGGCCGCCGTAGTAGCATGCGAACGCCACCATATCCCTGCGAGCGTGAGTAGCGGGGGGGGGGGCGTGGGGCGCTGCCCCCCGTGCAGCCGTGACCGCAAGGTGCTCAAGGCGAGGGGGCGGCCCCCGCATGCAGAGCCAGGCCGTCCGCGGGCAGGGGCTGACTCCCGACCGCGCGGCCGCACTCGGGCGTACGCCGCGGCGTGGGGGGGGGGTGGGGGCTGGCTCGAAGGATTGCAAAAACGAAGGATTGCAATCCTTAAACGAAGGATTGCAAAAACGAAGGGTTTTTTTGCAATCCTTGGTTTTTTTTGCAATCCTTCGGGTTTTTTGGCAATCCTTTGCAATCACTCGTTCAAGAAAGGGCTGGCCCCTCCTTGAGGCCCTCTGCCGCTGTGGACGCGGCTCCCGGGCGGCGCCGCTCCTCCCATCCCGCGCGGCGCGGGCTTCTCTTCGCCCGGGAGCGCCGGGTGCCGCGCTGCCTCTTTCCATGCGCTCGTCCCTCGCCGTCTGCGCCGCCTGGAGATCGCCCTTGCTAGTCGGGGCCCCCTGCGTTCCCCCTGCCCCGCTGCCCCCGTCGCGGGCGCCGCAGACGCCGCGAGCGCCGCCGCCCCCTGGCAGGGGGGCGCCAGCAGAGCTCCCGCCACGGCTGCCGCTGATACCGCAGACGCCGCTGCCCGGCGGAAGCGCCAGCAAACTCCGCGCCGAGCGCGTCGGCCACAGCGGCCCTCCCCTCCCCAAGGAAGACCGCGCGATGGAGCGGTCTGGCAATAGACGGCCTGATCTGAATGTGCAAACGCGCAGGCCAGGGATTCCGATCACGGACTCTGGACTTCTGGAATGGTGCTTCCTGATTGCTGGAAAGCCATTAAACAGGCGGGTCATCGCTGGCGCCTCGAGGCTGCACCGGCAACGGGGGTCCCTCTCTGACAGTCGAAGATGCGAGCGGCGCCGCGTCGTGCAGAGCGGCGCTGCTGCATCCGGCAAATTGTTTCCCGGCCGCTGGAGGTCGAGCAGGCCCATTCTCACTGGCAGCGGATGGGCGACGCGTTGTCCGAAGACGGTCCTCATTCGTCCGCTCGATGAGGCATGCGCACGGAATCAGATCCCATCCTGAGGGCCGCTTCGATGCCCATTCTCACCTTCTGCCGCGCCACATGCCGTCGCATGTAATTCGGGCCGGGATGGGCGGGGCGTCTAGGGTCATTCACTGGACCCGGGTCAAGGGGCCATTCAGCGCCTGCAAGCTCACTCTCGACGGGATCGGATGGCCGATGCGTTATCCCACTGCGCGGGAGACGCACGGGCAAGTCATGCTTGATGTGTCGCGTGTGTGTGTGTGCGTGTGTGTGTGTGAGTGTGTGTGTGTGTGTGTGTGTCATGGGACCGTTCGTCGGCATCTGGTCCGCGCGGTGAAAGATTGGCAGCGACAGCAATTTGCTAAGGACGGACTTGCGGCACTTGGAGGGCGGGGCGGCATGGGATTCCCTGGTCCATCTTGTCTCCTCGGGCCGCCCTCGTCCCCATGTCAATCGCGAGCTCTCGACCCTAGGGCCCGAAGCTCGGGGGCATTTGCGCTCGGTCATCGTCAACGGACAGTGGGCGATGGCAGGCAAGCGTGCTTCGAATCTCGCGCTGTCCAGCGATTGCCTTGTGTGCCGCAGGCCAGGCACCTTGACGCACTTGCATTTCGAATGCGAGTGTGGCCAGGAGTTGCCATGCCCCAGTGCGTTCCAGGTGTTGGTTCAGGCCTAGGATCGCCCTGAAGGGCGCCTTCTCCTCGAGCGCTCCCTGCGCCCCCCCAGGCCCAACTGGCACCCCCCAGCCAGGATCAGGTAGCGCGGCCAGTGTTGAAGTCCAGGAAAAGCGTTCTGGCACGATTCGAAATCGTCAATACGCAACAGTCAGGTTGATTCGTGGCGTTCAACTCCC